GAATTAGGGTCCAGTGCAGAGTGGTTGGGCGTGGTGTCTATGGCTACTTTAAAGTCCATTGGGGTTATGGTGACATCTGATATGGGAATCGATGTTGGTTTAACATTCATAAAGAATTAGTTTTGATCAATAATCTTTAATATGTTCAGGTTTCACTGAAAACAGAATCGTACTGAAGCCTCAGTATTTCACTCATTTCGTTGTTGTCATCTGTTGAGGTTCCATCGCCTTGCTCAAGGGTCCAATGCTGGGTGTAGTGTTTGTTCTTGCTTAGGATAAAAAGGATTTTGGATTCCTCTCAATTTCGCTGATGACTTTTTGCTGTGTTTCCTTTTCCTGCATTTTATATTGTTTTGTAGGTTTAACTCGATCGTTTCTCTACGTAGCGTTCCTTGTCCATCTTGGGATAGGCTTGAGCGTTCCTTGTCCATCTTGGGATAGGCTTGAGCGTTCCTTGTCCATCTTGGGATAGGCTTGAGCGTTCCTTGTCCATCTTGGGATAGGCTTGAGCGTTCCTTGTCCATCTTGGGATAGGCTTGAGCGTTCCTTGTCCATCTTGGGATAGGCTTGAGCGTTCCTTGTCCATCTTGGGATAGGCTTGAACGTTCCTTGTCCATCTTGGGATAGGCTTGAGCGTTCCTTGTCCATCTTGGGATAGGCTTGAGCGTTCCTTGTCCATCTTGGGATAGGCTTGAGCGTTCCTTGTCCATCTTGGGATAGGCTTGAGCGCTCCAGTTCTGGGATTTTATTTCTCCGCCTCGGGAGGGGACGCCGTTCTCATCCCAGTTTACATCTTTTTCTCTTATTGTATAAGACTTGAGCATATTTATAGTGCTATTGTACATATTTTCTCGAAGCACTGATTTATATCGTCATTCTCTAAGCTGTTTTTCCCAGCTTATTTCTGCGAGGTCTTTATTTATTAGTGCCCAGGTAATCAGTTTATTATTTAAAATTTAATTTGCAGAATTCACATCCTCTTAATTTTGGGACCGGCTGCGCTGCCACAAAATCACTAGAAAGACAAAATTTGTTACATAACGATCGTCAAAGGCTTCGAAAATGGACAAGAGCAGTTGTTAATTAAGCTGAAAAATCAAGGGTTCTCAGCTTGAGTAATAATAAAAGTTGCCAGATATTGAAACTATACCAACTGTGAATGCGGGAAAAGAAGATTTTATATATATATATATATATATATATATATATATATATATATATATATATGGGACTACACGTGCGTATCAACCCTGGCTAGCACCTACATTAACCTCAGTGTTGCACAACCAGGTGGCGCTGCCACCCACAGGGAAGCAGCCAAATCCCGTAAGTATAGAGAACTGGATCACCACCACAATTTTGTCCCCATTGCTTCTGAGACACTCGGCGCCTGGGGTAAAAGTGCTACCAGTTTTTTGAAGGAACTGGGTTCTATGATTATTGAAACAACAAGGGACCCTAGAGCTGCCAGCTTTCTTTTCCAGCGCCTCAGCGTGGCGATACAGAGGGGAAATGCGCACTGCATCCAGGGTTCCTGCCCGCCATCTGAGGAGCTGGAGGAACTCGACAACCTATGATAACCATCTTTGTAACCCATATGTAACTCCTTTTTTGTAACAAAGTTCAAATAAAGCAAACATATATGTGTACATACAAAAGAATGGGGGTGGTAGGAGAAGATAATATAAGTGTTCAGTGAGAAACCACAAAGTCTCCTCTGAATACTTTTTATTTTCTTCTCCGAGGCTATGGGTCCCCACATTGGCACCAGAGGTGGTACCCTCACAAATTAAAAATATATATATATATATATATATATTATATAATGTTGTACCTAGTAGCCAGAACGTCGTATTCGGCCTACTATGCAAGGCCCGATTTGCCTAATAAGCCAAGTTTTCCTGAATTAATATATTTTCTCTAATTTTTTTCTTATGAAATGATAAAGCTACCCATTTCATTATGTATGAGGTCAATTTTTTTTATTGGAGTTAAAATTAACGTAGATATATGACCGAACCTAACCTACCCTACCTAACCTAACCTATCTTTATAGGCTAGGTTAGGTTAGGTAGCCGAAAAAGTTAGGTTAGGTAGGTTAGGTAGTCGAAAAACAATTAATTCATGAAAACTTGGCTCATTAGGCAAATCGGGCCTTGCATAGTAGGCTGAGAAGTGCGTTCTGGCTACTAGGTACGACATATATATATATATATATATATATATATATATATATATATATATATAATGTGTGTGTGTGACTGGTGATTAATAGAGATCTTAAGCCGAAAATATAAATGCATAAATGTATATAATAAAACAAACAGGACACTGGGATTTATTCCTTGAAGTGTAAGGAAGGTGTGACGGTAACGCGTTGGTGTTCGGCTGTTTCAAAAGCTAGGGGTATGGCCTCGTCACATATAGAAACAAAAAATAGAAAATCTGGAACTTCGTCTGTGGTAAGGTAATGGGAAGCCACACAAAACACAAGTAAATTTAACAAAGAGATTTTAATTACGTTAGAAAAGCAAAACATGACTAAATGGACATACAAATTGGAACATAAAATCAATCAAAATAATAAGAATAATCAAATGACAAAATGAAAAGTTACATTAAGACAAGTGACTAATAACAAGTGAACAATATACAATCAGATAATAGGTGCAGGAATATTGGCTTTAAGCTGCCACCTCTCTTAGTACACGTAAGCCAGAGCTTAGTCTACCAACGAGATGTGTTAACTTGTTGAAAGCACTGGATATTCTGAGGTCTGTAGGTCGTGTGGCCCCAGACATCAGGTAGTGTGGCGGGTGGAGGGCAGGTGCAACTGGACACGCAGCCAATCAGCGATGAGCAGGCGACGACAGGTAGTTTGGTGATTCGAGTGGCGGGGGGAGCAGGTGTTCCTGGTGCTGCATACGTTTGCTCTCTGGCAAACCTTGGTGTTGTATTTGTTGGATATTCCTTCCATATTAGTTGTATAGGGATGTATATAGCGACGAACTTGGGAGGGAAGAGCAGGCTCAATCTCTTGAAGGAGATTATCGTCACAAAGGATATGTCTAATATTGAGGCTGTATCACGCCCCATATAGACCAGACAGTTATCACGCCCCATATAGACCAGACAGTTATCACGCCCCATATAGACCACACAGTTATCACGCCCCATATAGACCACACAGTTATCACGCCCCATATAGACCAGACAGTTATCACGCCCCATATAGACCAGACAGTTATCACGCCCCATATAGACCACACAGTTATCACGCCCCTTATAGGCTAGACAGTTATCACGCCCCATATAGACCACACAGTTATCACGCCCCGTTTAGACCAGACAGTTGAGGCTCCGTAGTATAGACTGGACATATCTCGCCAGAACAAGCAAGAAGGAGAAAGTTAATCTCGCCAAATATAAGCAATCCTTATCAAGAGATTGATAAGGATTAATCATTAAGATGATTTATTTAACTTATGTCGAGAGGAAGAATAAATGTTTGAGCTTACAGAGGGATGAGAAGCTGTAAATAAGGCAGCATGCATAGCTCGTGTTCAATGGTTCAACACCAGTTTCAGCACGATACAATAGGTCAAAATTAGTCAAGGTTGGCGTCAGAAAAGATCTGGGTAAATAATGATTTTGAAACATAGTTGTTGAGTTATGGTTGGGGGGTGGGGGAGGGGGGGAGGGGAGGGGCACAGTTACCGGTCCAGGCGTGTTAACTTGCCTGGAGTTATCCCTGGAGTGTTCACACCTGAGGTTGACATAGATGAATGACTCTGGCTAGTTATACATATGAGCTGCTGCCTCGTATGGGTCAATAGGCCTTACGCAGTTAACATTATTATAACTAGGAGGTGAGAGGATGCTGACCGCCGTAACCAGTTATACCAGGGAACACAAGAGCTGCATGTGCTTATTTCTCTGTAAGAATGGTATTGTTGTTGTTGTTAAAGATTCGCTACCTGGAACAAAAAGTTCCAGGTAACACGGGCTATGGTGAGCCCGTAGTGCCTAAGAATGGTGACAAGAGGGCCGCTATATGTGCGTCGGGACTAACACGCCCCTATTGTGACTGACGTATATATATATGTCAGCTACGTTAGGGGGGCCTGACGGCTGAGTGGACAGCGCTCTGGATTCGTAGTCCTGAGAGGGAGGACTACCAGAGAGGTGCCAGGGAGGTGGGGGACAACACTAGTAGGTGGTCAACACGGCGGCTCGTTCACAGAGGAACAGTTTGGGGTCAAGTCAGTCTGTCTCACGTCGGCCTTAACCGAGCTTACCAAAAATTATAGGCCAGTTGCACTAACATCGCACATAATAAAAGTGTTTGAAAGAGTGATTAGGAATCAAATTTCTAGTTTTATGGAAAACAATGAATTGCACAATCCAGGACAACATGGATTTAGAGCGGGAAGGTCCTGTCTGTCACAGTTACTCAACCAAAATGACAAAATCACAGAAAACCTAGAAGAAAAGCAAAATGCAGATGTTGTATACACAGACTCTGCAAAGGCATTCGACAAATGTGACCATGGGGGGATAGCTAACAAAACGAGGTCAATGGGAATAACTGGAAAAGTAGGACGCTGGATACTCAATTTCCTTTCGAACAGAACACAAAGAGTAACAGTCAATCAGATAAAATCGAGTCCAAGCGCAGTTAAAAGCTCTGTACCTCAAGGTACAGTCCTTGCACCGCTACTGTTCCTTATTCTCATATCTGATATAGACAAAAATACACGCCACAGCTTCGTGTCGTCCTTTGCAGATGACACAAAAGTCAGCATGAAAATTACCTCTGCTGAAGACATTGAAAAACTACAAGCAGATGTCAACAAAGTTTTCGATTGGGCAGCAGAAAATAACATGATGTTTAACAGTGATAAATTTCAGGTACTCAGGTACGGCAAAAATGAGGATCTGAAACATAATACAGGGTACAAAACACAATCGAATCTTCCCATAGTAGAAAAACAGCATGTCAAGGATTTGGGAATAATGATGTCCGACGATCTAACGTTTAGGGAGCATAACCAAGCAAATATCGCGTCAGCCAGAAAAATGATCAGATGGATTACGAGAACTTTCAAATCCAGTAATCC